GGTTAAGTTCGAAATTGAGTACCATACTATTACAATTCAAAGCAAGTTCGTGTTCGTGTGTATGACTTTTTCGAGGGGTTGTTCAGTTTTCCTCTATATTTAATCCAAATCTGAAGTGAAAATAACTCCTACTGCCAAAGCCAAATAACTCTTTTCTCGAGTTATAAAACCTGAGAAATAGTTAACTTAAACGGTAGGAGACAAAATCTACTCCACCTTAGGAGTTGTACAACTCTTGTAAAAAAAACAGTGTTTTTCCAGAATTTGCCATTTCGTTGTCAAAGCGTGTCGTAAAGAATGCTGTTTGGGTAAAATAAAAACTCATGACAATCAAGGCCAATGTTGGTATTAAATCAAGAGGCTTTCCGACTGGCGGGTTTAAGGCACCCATCACACAAATAAGACAGAAGAGCATGATCTATAAGCAAACAAGCGCACATTCCAGTGAATAAATTTTTGTCTTTTGTTGGGCCAAGATCGTCCAAGGGTCACTCAATACAGTCGAACCTTCATGTGCGACCACGTCTCGTAAGCGACCACCTACCATAAGCGACCCTTATAAAAAACACCAAAATTTGTCAGCCTTTTAGTTACCTCTTATAAGTGACCGCGATCACTTTTTAGGATGACGTTTGTAGAATTTTCTACAAAAACTGTGTTCAATGTATGCACTAGGCTATCAGAGTACGAGAACTTGGATTAATTTGTTTCTGGGAAAGTGCCCACTTACCCCTCCCCTAAGCCAACAATTTGCCCTAAGTGAGAAGTAAGTGTTAATGTTGGCTTAGGGGAGGGGTAGGTGGACAGCTTCCCAGAAACCTCAATTGATTCGAGAACTTAGAAACAACAAGGATTTATGATATTGTAACCTAAAAATTGCATGCGATACATTCTCTCCACAAAAAGTAGATGTGTCCGGACCTCTCCTCTTGAAAGACCTCCCGCAGTTCGATCGACATCTTGTAAGCGACCACTTAAGCATCGCATTTTGGGTCGTTGCTTACGGGAGGTTAGATTGTATTAAGTTCTAATCGGCTAGGTGGCCCACGGGTGACTCAGAGGTGAAGTAGCAAATTATCACTTAACTTGTCCAAAACGATTCAAACCATAATCTCGGACAGAATAAAATGGAACAGCAAGCCCTCATCCCCCAAATCAAGGATGAAGCCGCGCGAAGGGCAAAAACGCGCCATTTTCCTATCCTTGATTTTGGGGAAGAGGGGCGGCGGGGGGGGATGTAGGTTTTCCATTTATTTTGTCCAGAATAAAATGGATCAGCAAACCCCTATTTCCCCAAACCAAGGATGAAGCCGCGCGAAGGGAAAAACGCGCCATTTTCCCATCCTTGACTTGGGGGTGGAGGGGGGGGGGGGGAAGAAGGGGGGTTTTAGTTTTCCACTTATTTTGTCCAAGATCGTAGCCCTCTTCCCATAAATAACGATAAAAATGACAAATCTCCTTTTATGGTCTTCAAGTTATCATTTATTCTCGCATTTCATTTGAGGAAAACATTTCTTCAGTTTACCGATATAAATCATTACGAAGCGGCGTTCAGCAGTCTAAAATTATGTGCCTCCTCCATAAGCCTCGATTGCCTGTAATGATACTGCACCGGCAAATAAGCGATATTTAGAAGTGAGCTATTATACAAAATTCATGACTCTAAAGACGTTTAAGAAGAAGGTCACACAATTATGTCTCTAAAGTAGGATGTTTCAGTCAGACTACATGAGCTATCCTTGAAATTTAAAATTCATTTTGAAGTACAGTCCCAAACAAGCCAAACGTAATCTTCAGTTCAGGCTTACAAAGCGGAAGACCGTGATCACGGTTTGTGATGCGCCCTCCTCAGTCCTCAGCCCGTGAGGTGCGTCCTCCAAGTGCATATTAAGAGAGTATAGTATCTATGTGCTCGAGTGGGCATTGATGAAAACAAACAAGACTAGAGTTTATCTACTTCCTAGCGCCATCGAAATAAGTTCCTTAAACTGAACCATGACTTCTTCTCGACATTGCCCCTTAATAGCTTTTTTATGTCTTCTGGTGACTCGTATGCGGGGCGACGTCGGACCGTTTTCTTCGAGTACGGCCTGAAGGATTTCTCACACATCGGGTTCATGAAGAACTGGAGGCGGAACTCTTGTCCATTTCTGGTAAATGTGTAGTTCCCCTCTCGACGAAGGAACGCGGTCTCCAGGTCTTCTTGCTTTAAATCTGATTCGCCAGTCTGAAATACAACCAACGGCAATCAATTTACAGTGTGGGTGCAATGATGGACACTACATCGTATAACAAAAATGTACAGTGAGAAAGGGTATGGAATGAAAAGTTGTCAGTGGTTGTCATACTAGCCCTAAGTTTTTTCGTGTCATTTTGTCGGACACGCCTGATTGTGGCATGGGTTTAAATGTCCTATAGCAGATTATGGCAAGATTATTTGCCAAATCTAACTTTTACAGTGGACGAAATCCCCTTAGCAGGGGTTTTGCATGGTAATTATTTGTAACTATTGAAAAAGAGGAAATTTGATTTTTTGTGATTTTTTTTGCCTTAACAAATGTTAGGAATCGTGTACTTCATTAGCGTTCGATCCTGGGCAAATCTGAACTTTTTTCACAACTTAGCAGTTATGGCAAGGATACCTTCCATTTTCCATTTAGGAATCGTGCACCTCATTAGCGTTCGATCCTGGGCAAATCTGAACTGTTTTTACAATTCAGCAGTTATGCTAAGGATAACTTCCATTTTCCATTTACTTCATCTTACCGTCACTCCATACTTGATCCAGTCACCACTTTCTTCTTTTCTATACCACAGCCACTGGGTGCTAAGACTTTTGCCTTCCTGTTTAACGTACGATTCTGTAGACAGTCTTCTCAGGTCCGCCCGGTGATAGCTTTTCTCTATCCTCATGTAGTCAAAATCTACTTTCACTGCATCGTTCCTGGATGATGATCTGCTTGTAGGAAATGATGTAACAAAGCAAGGAGATTACACCCAACAGTATAACGTAGTGGTGAATGTGGCCAAAAACTGATGAAAGGTATAGTCAAAAAGTCNTAACAAATGTTAGGAATCGTGCACTTCATTAGCGTTCGATCCTGGGCAAATCTGAACTTTTTTCACAACTTAACAGTTATGGCAAGGATACCTTCCATTTTCCATTTAGGAATCGTGCACCTCATTAGCGTTCGATCCTGGGCAAATCTGAACTGTTTTCACAATTCAGCAGTTATGCTTAGGATAACTTCCATTTTCCATTTACTTCATCTTACCGTCACTCCATACTTGATCCAGTCACCACTTTCTTCTTTTCTATACCACAGCCACTGGGCGCTAAGACTCTTGCCTTCCTGTTTAACGTACGATTCTGTAGACAGTCTTCTCAGGTCCGCCCGGTGATAGCTTTTCTCTATCCTCATGTTGTTAAAATCTACTTTCACTGCATCGTTCCTGGATGATGATCTGCTTGTAGGAAATGATGTAACAAAGCAAGGAGATTACACCCAACAGTATAACGTAGTGGTGAATGTGGCCAAAAACTGATGAAAGGTATAGTCAAAAAGTCGTTTTTTGACTTCGTCAACCGACAGGACTCATTAGACTGACAAACCGAAGGCCGAAGATGCGCTTATTTTCCCCCTCCCCTTTCTCTCTCCCTCAGTGCTCCGTTTTAAGGGTACTTAAGATCACTTAAGCTTCTTAAAGCTAAACGGGAAAGACAAAGAAGGATTTGAGGTCACACCTACTAATCGAGCTCGAAACCTCGCACAGAAGGCCGTGCACTAACCTTGCTTTTGTCCCTTTGCTTTTTACTAACGGAATAAGAGAGAGACTAGGGTAAGGAAGCAGGGTATCACCTTTGTAAGGCCTACCCAGATTTAAACAACAACAGAGCTCTTAAAGAAACCACACCCGTTTCTCCCACTCACCTCTCACCGCTGTAAGACTTGAATGCCACATCTATGTCAGCTGCTGACACAACATCGTTCTTGGGGTCGCAGAATAACTCTTCTATCCTGCAATTGTCTTCTTTGGTAAAACTTTTCCACCCCTCCAGGGACAGGCGATACTGCCAGTGGTAAGGGAGGGGACAGTGATGAGATTCACACTTGCTTCCTTGATGGCACGTGCCAGCGATGAAGTCAGGGCAGATATGAACTTGCGAGCTGTAGTGGATATGTCCTGAAATGAAGTAGATCATTATACGTTTCTGGAAAACTACCCACCTACCCCTCCCCTGAGCCAACACTAACACTTGCTTCTCACTTAGGGCAAAATGCTGGATTAAGGGAGGGGTAGGTGGGCAGTTTCCTACCCAGTAGTACACTTAACTACTATAATTGAAATCAGATAAAAAAGACGTTTCAAGAAAGGAATAGAAAAAGTCATTCGTGTTAAGGGGTGAAGTTTTTAGTTTTTTATTCATTTGTTGATTCTGTGTGATTTAGATTTTCACCTTTCTGAAAAGGTGAATTCTAAAACGAACTCCGTAGAGACCTATACAAAGTGGCCTTGACTAGCAGAAATATTCAGCAATGAAAGCTGGTGAAATGTTTGCAAAACCATGTTATAAAACGACTTGCCAGTTTAACTTTTAGGTCAAAAGTAATTGGGGTGGTGGTGAGGCAAAGCAAAACTACCCCAGTCCAGAAAAAACACACACACACAAACACACATTATCAAATAGGTCATAAGGCTTGCGAAGACCATAGTTATTACAGGAGACTGGTTATGAAAAGAGTCAAACATCAATTATAAAAACAACAATGCTGCAGTTTATGTTGGAAGGTTCCTGAAGGTGCACATTCCTTTGTTTTCTTTTTGGCAAATTGTGACAGATTTAAATTAATGCAACGTTTTTATTGGTCAATACGATCGAAATGATAGGGATACTTTTGAACGTTGTGCCCTTTTAGGTCCGCAAAAACATATCAACAAAGTAGTCTGATGGGTTTCATAACCATTCCACTTCATTAACTATGCTTATAATTAGACTTATATCAGACACTGGCAAAGTGTCAGACTATAACGTCGACTTGGGAAAAAAGGACAGGTTTATGGGACATCGTTGAGATTACTAAAATCTGCTTCGCTAGACTTACATCATGAGTATATAGGAGTACTTTTGTTACTATTAAGGGAAACCGACAGGTAGTAAACGGTTTATTTTTTGGGGGGTGACAGACCAACTGACTACTAACTGTAAATTGTTTGACCAATCATTTGCTTTACACAATCGAAAATGCGGGGGGCGGGGATGGGTATGTCAGGCTTAAGCCAATGCCCCTTCTGTCCCTTCCCCTGCTATGGGCCCGAATAATAAAATGAAAAGTATATTATGTCCAGGCTACTTGATTGCAGATCGAGAGGGTTACAAGTCTCCTGCGCAGTTGTTACGTTACGGGCGTTGCGTGACGAGACAAAAACAGCTGTGTTGGAGACTATAGAGGGTCATCCGCGTACTCAAATTTTTCACTAACTTACCTTCAGTTCCATCGTCATTTTCGGGCCCCTTCTGATCATTGCTTTTTGTCTTACCGCGGAACCGAACACTGGAGTCGTTGCCAGTCGTCTTCCTTCGTAAACTGTCGTATTTCGCCGAATCCTGGGAGTAAGAAGACCTCCCTCTTCTTGAACTATTCCTATCGCGATCAGCAGCGTCCGTGGATGATGTTATAGCGTATTCTTTATCATCGATTTCCGAAAAAAATGTTCCTGATAATCGATTTCTAAATCTAAAAGAAATCAGTAGAGCCCATAAAATAAATACACAGCTTCCAATTCCAGATGGACTGAGATATTCAAACTTGTCCTCTACTTTCACCGTGACCACGAAGAAATTTTCGTATACCACGGATGAAATGTCAAGACAAAGCGCTGTCGTATAGTATGATATCTTTAACGTCAAAGGAAGAAATACCGTGACAAATTTCTCCAGTAGAACGTATGCTGTCTTTGAAAATATTGCCAAGATAGTGTTCCAAAGAAATCTTACAACTGTGGAGTTGGCAAAGCTGTGCCAGCATCTGTACAACCCTGAGGAAATTGAAACGATGTTCAACCACAGGAACCTTCCAGTTTCTTTAAGCATGGAAAGAATTGTGTGAACAGTGATTCGTATAAGGTTTAAAATGATATGAAACAAAGGATCAAAAACTGACAGGATGTCTTTTAAGGTGAGAAGAAGAGGGTGCAAAAGGAATGCGACAACACTGTACATGATCTGAACTATTTGCATCAGTACTCGAACAACTGTCAAGAATTTTAGCAACAGCATAATAGCTATGACCACCAGAAAAATTGTAACAGTCACCTTTCCTCCTGGAGTGTAATCGCTGGCAAGAAGAAAGAGTCTTCGGCAGATTTCACAAAATCCTCTCACGTACACAGCACTTGCACGAAGCCTCGTGCGTGTAGCGCGCGTGATTTGATTAGCTCTTCTTTTTAGCGATTTAGCAATTGGCATCCACAGATGTTTCTTCATTTGTTCCTTGCATTTGTTGTAAGAAGCCACAGGCATTGTAAGCAACCACATTAAATAACCTTTGTAGTCAAAATGAAAGATCTGTTGAACGCAGCCAACAATGCGAATAACTAGTAATACCACCCGCTCGTAAACAGCGAAGATAGCAAAGAAAATTCCCGTAAAGAAGTTAGTCACTAAGTATATCATAGCTGTCATGGCTTTACTGTAGCGTTGCACAGCTGTTTTCAAGCGGCGAAACGTGTCGATTGTTTTCTGTTCAAGGTTTTTGAGAGAGGATTTTTTCTCTTGAGACTGCTGTGTGTCAGCCATGTTCAACTTGATTTGATTATTATAATTCCGGGGTTGAATGATCAAACGCCTTCTTCTTCTGTTGTTGGAGATGAAAACACAATATTCTTTTCAGGTTTCTTGAATCACAAGCGGTCAATCAGGTCGGTAGCTGCTTCTTAATTGCCCGAATGATCAAACTTTGCGTCGAGCCGTCCATGTTTACAATATGCACATTGACAGTGCCAGTGACAGTGAATATCATTTGCCTGTTCTTTATATACAGGTTGATCACGTCATTGATTTCCAATAAATTTTATGCCTCGTTGCCTTTGTTTTTTTGGTTCTCGTTCACTGACCTTATTAAACATCGACTCCTGCCTTTTTCCATTTCTGATAACCATAGTTTCATCTTATACCTTCTGATCAGCGATGTAAGTTTGAAATTCTCAATTCAAAGTAACATTTGAGCTATTGCGTGACATCGGTGTTTTAAAATTTGCATACCAGTTCATGTTTCGAAAAGCAAATTTGTATGAAGTACAGTGCATTAACTCCAGGCGCAGCCGTGGAATTCATTGGTGAGTCAGTATTGTAAATTTTGATCATTTCGTCCCGATCAATCAGAAAAAGTATGAGACAAATTTGCATGTACAGTCGACTCCCGATAATTCGAACCTTCAAGGAAAATAGAAAAATGTTCAAGTTATCGCGGGTAAAATTGTATAGAAAATGTTCTGAAGGGAATGAAAATTGCTTCGAGTTGGCGGGAGGTTCGAGTTATAGAGGGTTCGAGTTATCGAGAGTCGACTGTACTGGAGTCCTAGTACGATTCAAAAACGCAGTTGGTTCCAGGCTTCCACCTTTCCACTATACACTTCTACTTCCACTGTCTTCCCTGGTCTCACGTTGGAAAGTCCGTTCCAATTCAGCGATGGAGAAATCTGCCGAACAGAGGGGAACTGAGTGTAGCAATAAGCGTGACTAATTGCGATCTTCCGCCCGCACTCATTTCATGAAGCGGATTCCCCCCAACGCCTCTTTTCTCGGAATTCAAAGCCCGGAAGTTTTTATTTCCATGAAGACATCTCGTGAAGAGAATCCGGCGCTGCAAGATGGCGGATGATCAGGATGACGGTTTGTTTCAGAAAGTCCACAATTTTATTTGCGGTAGCGGCGGTTTTGTTGAATTACCAGTTCTTTTCAGGCGTCCTGCACCTCTGGGTAGCAGGAAATCTGCGCTGGAATCGAGAAAGTGGCTTAACAATCGGAGTGAATTCGTCTTTGTGAAAGATCACAATGGCGAAGAGAAAGGTGTGCGAATCAATTTGAGAAAAAAAGTCTGCCAGCAGTATGTTGTGAAAGGCTCATGTCGACGGGGTCAGAATAAGTGCAAACACTGGCATATCTGTAAAAGCTTCATCGAAGAAGAATGCAATGGAGCTTGTGGTCTCTCTCATGACTTCCATGACCATGGAAACGATAACAAACTAAAAGAACTTGGACTGGAGAAGTATTCGAATGGAAGTTTGAGAAAAATTATTGCTTGGAGTCTGCCGACGATCTGCGAACTGTACTTGAGAAGTGAATGCAAATATGACAAATGTCCATATCTTCATGTTTGTGCTAAAGAGGCGCTTGGTCTCGCTTGCGATTGTTTACTTTCACACAGCCTCACCGATTGTCACAACATGAATATTCTCAAAGAATACGATTTAGTGCCACCAAATCAAATTGTCAACGTCGACTTCGTTCGTTGTAGTATTTTAGTTTTGGATAAACAGCGGTGTGTAACTTTAAGCGAAGATATGGCTGCTGTCACACCAAAACCAGCTCCAAGCCGCTTCAAGAATAGCTCAGCGGTCAGTGTTTTCTTTGATCGTTTATGCAAGGAATTTAGCTGTTCGGCATCCTTAGCAAATCTTCTTGATCAGAAAGTTGTTCTTCCGAGCGAAGTTGAAGATTTTGAATCGCTGGTTGAAGAAAACAAAGATAAGTTCTTGGTCACCCGCAATGAGCGTGGGGATATTCAAGATGTGGCAGCATTCTGTCCAAACCTGCGTTTGTGTCGCAACTTTGTGTCCTTGACCAATGAGTGCGGAAATAATCTGTGCCCAAATTTTCACTTGTGTAGAAAATTTGTCACGGGGACCTGTATTCATGGCGAAAGCTGTTCCAGAAGCCATTCCTTTCGAAACAAGAGAGACTCGGAAACGCTGTCGAGTCTTCACTTAGACGAGCTAACAGATGAGCAGCTCCGCCAACTTATGATGTCATCATCTCCTCAAGTTTGCCCGGATTACAATGACAGCGGCTGCAACAGAGACAATCTTTGCATCCGAGTCCACATTTGCAAGAGGTTCGTGATGAATGCGTGCAGAAAGAGAAAGTCCTGCTGTTTAGATCACAAGCAGGCCCTCGATACCCTCCACACCAGCTCTATACTTGAGAAGTATAAAATAGATGACACTAACCTTAACCACGTTTTGAGGGATTTATTAGTTTGTGACGAACACAAAAGCGCATGTGGCTCTAGTATTGACCCAACTATGGGAAGGACAAATTCTGGATCTCTAGGTGGCCTGAATAGTTTGCCGGCCAAAGACGGAGATTTTGTCGAAAAGTGGTTGATGGACCTTGAACCTGAAAAAAGCGCTTCTTCCCAGACCAGAATTAAGGCGCAGCGGCAGAAGAGGCGATCATCCGTATCAAGTTCTTGTAGCTCTGTAGCACCTCAAAATAAATCCAATCCTTCTAAGAAAACTGTATTCAAAGGCATTTGTAAGGAACACAATGGGACGGTTCCCTTTTCAATAATTTCCCAAAGACGAGATTTATTTAGCACAGGAAATTCACAGGACATTGCTCACTGGTTTCGACAAAGAAATGATAAATTTCTTCTCACAGAGGACTCAGCAGGTAATATCTTGGAGGTCACTTCGTTTTGTCCAAAAGCAAGATTGTGCTTCAACTACTTGACGTCGCAAGTTTGTTCAAGAGAGGACTGCCAGTTTTTTCACGTTTGTAGGGAATTCATAGCAGGATCCTGCAAATTCTTCAGCCGATGCAAATGGCGACACAATTTCCAGTTTGACGAAGATCGCGGCTTCATCACCAAACTCGAGTTGGGTGATCTTACGCAAGAAGAGCTTCGTAAAGTCTTGCGGTTCTCGATGCCACAAGTTTGTTTAGACTACAACTCTGGAGGCTGTAAAAAAGATCCTTGCGACCAGATACACATTTGCAAGGACTACGTTAGGCGGAAGTGCAACGATTTCGACGACTGTGATTTGCAGCATGAAAGTGCACTGGTGACTCCTCGTGCATCTGAAATATTTGAAAAATATGGCCTGACATGCTCAGATTTAAGCACCAAGTCTATGCTTAAGGAGGTCCTAGTTTGTGAGAGGTCTTCGAGCATTCGCCAAGAAAGCCGATCAAGCAGCGTTAGTAGTCTAAGTGCTACGAGTCTGAGTAAATCGCGAAGACTACATGTACAGTTAGATGATGATTTTGTTTCTTCAGTTAAACGGGCTTTCCCCACGGTATCTGATGGCTCTGATCCAAACAATACCAAATGGACCCCTTGTTGGCCAGACGAACAACAGGTCTTCGAATGTTTGTGTACAGAGTACGACTGCTCAGCTTCCTTTTCCGCGATCGGAAAACGAACTGACCTATTCCCTCATGGGCCAGATAGTGCTGAATCTTGGTTTCTCAGAAGAAAAGGCAGCTTTTTGATCATTGAAAACGAAAAGGGAAAAATTTCCCAAATTGAGGCATTCTCTACGAAGGCGCGTCTGTGTTTAAACTACACCAGTAAACAGCAGTGTCAGAAGGTTAACTGCCCTAACCTCCATGTTTGCAAAGATTACATTACCGACTCCTGTAGCCGTGAAGAGATGTGTCCTCTTAATCACCACGTCCATAATAGAAGAGACAAAGCCTTGTTGGTTACCTTTAAGTTGGACATGTTAACAGAGCAACAACTCCGCCAGCTTGTGCTACTATCTACTCCTCAGCTTTGTGTCGACTACAATAACGGGATATGCTCTCGTGGACATTCTTGTCGTAAGATTCACATATGTTGTGGTTTTCTTAGAAAATGCTGCAGAGGGGAGCATCTCTGTACTCTAGATCATGAAGCAGCCTTGAAAACTAACCACTCCCGCGTTGTTTTTGACCGTCTACAGATCAGCAATCTCAGCAGCAACGACATGGTGAACATCATTTTTGATGATAGGCTCAGTCTGTCAGGAAAAGACAAAACAAACTGTAAGTTTGAATATCATCAGTATTCTAATAAGATTATAGTCAAGTAAACTACACTATTCGAATTATGTTACGAGAAAACAGCGTCTTAACTCCTTGATAGCGGGAACCTATGTATTTTCACCCTTAGCAAATTTCATTGTACTATGAGAACAATCGTAATCAAGCAAATTTTCCTCTAGGATTTCTTAAATTGCGTTCGTTATGGACATTCGAATACATTTGTTTTACTGGTAAAGCCGCCATGATATAAATATTGGTAAAAACATTTTAGCATTTTTCTGTTTGATTTAGCAGGTAGCATTCATTATGACAGTCCGGATACACCCATCTGCTCACGTTTTCTAAGTGGTGAATGCCAGAAAGGCGTACGATGCTTGAAACACCACTGTTCTTTGCCCTACCACTGGCAGTACGAGGTCCCGCAAGCCTTATACCAGTGGAAAAGCTTCTCTGAGATGGACAACTTAACGTTGGAAAAACTGTACTGTGACGTTAGCATCGATACCCTAGTAAATTTCAAGCCTACCCAGTTCCCTGACGTATCTTTGCTTAAGAGGCAAGTGATCAGAAAGATTTCGAATCACATTTACAGAAAACGACAAACGTCAAATTTAAATTTAAATTCAAAATGTTCTAAGAAAAAAGCAGATAAGATACAAAGATAATATGATTCTTCGACGGCTCTTGATGGAACCGAATTTTGGTAGATATAATGAAAAGTAAATGGCTAATATTGGGGAAAACTTGGTCACGTGGTGTAAGCCGGCTTTTGCCGTGAGTGTTTGATTTTTTAAGCCTCTCTATTGCCATGATTACTTCAGTTACTGAATGGTAAGGGCGGGTATGTATTCCATTTGAGACAGACAAGTTAACTTCGGTGAACTTGAAGTCAGTTATGGATATATGTGCTGTAGTACTAAGTAAAGTCCGTGGATGACATCTAAAGGCGTGACTATCAAGTGAAAGCTACTGAAAAGTTCTTTTTTAAAGCTGTACAAATGTTGTCCTTAAACGTTCGTCTGTGATTAGAGTCCAGTGGTGTCCTTTGAAATCTAACCTATTCAGCGGTAGGTGGTGCTAGTTGTTTTTTATCATTTTACAAACGAAAATGTAGACATTCGACTCGGGGAACAGCTTGGGAGTAAACGGGGTAAACTTAACGATGCTTCTCTTCTTTCTTTAAATTTCTACTCAAGAGCTCGTTATATTCGAAAAAAAGAAGCCTTCAGATAGTTAGCTGATTAAGTAGATTCCCTATCCAGTGGGTAAGGTCAATGCTTACTGAACTGCCGGTTTTCATTCTCTTTCAGTATACCTGGGATCACCACGGTTAACGATTATGAGACTAAAATCGACTTAAGCAATATGCTCATGCATTTGACACCACCGTGTTCTCATCTTGGCCTCAAAACTAAGTTGAGGCGGCTATCGACGATTGCTTTAGTCCAAGAGCCCTGTGAAATCATGCAAACTGAATGGACTTGGTACTGGAAAGAAAATGGCAACGTATGGCTTAAGTATGGGAATGACCGTTCGGTAAGATCAACAATAACTGTCCCGTGACAATTACTTAGTGGGTTATATCGTAATTTTTTCTCGCCTATCTTCCCCTCCCATCTCTCTATCTCTCCCGCTCTCTTTTCCCCTCCCCCCCCTCTCTCTCTCTGGCCCCTTTGAGAGTGACACCCAACTGACACCCTAAGTGAAATTTTCAACCCGATATTTGTAGACTCTCTCGTTGCTTAACCTTTTAATGCCAAAGCCTTCATTTGTTGATAATATCCTGTTATAGGGAAGAGATCTTCAGCTTCTTATAGAGCAGGCCTTCTTGGACGGGAGCAAGCAAATGAAATTCAAAACTGCACAGCATGAATACAACTTATTCTTTTATTCAAGTTCTTCTTTTGCTCAAGTTAACCTGAAAACTGGCACCAAACGAGCGGTGAAAAGAAGACCCCAGGAGTTTGTGTCTCTTGAAAACATCGAAGACCTGAAGTGGTACGTTTTCAATATAATCTTCATTGCAATACTGTTGTAGAAAACTGCTGTAATGAAGAGTGAAAGTTTGGAAAGCATGTTTCGGATAATTTAGTTTCTAAGGTTTACTTTCAAGGGATTAACATTTGCTTTTGCCACAGTATGTTTGACTACATAGGTCACCCATTTCATAGTTAATAGAGTGGGCCATACATGGGCAGTTAGTTGTACCTTTTCTAATTTAATAGAATGTTAAATTGAAGGTAATAAAATAGATATTTTTTTCTTTTGAAGGAGAAATGGTGATTCTTGTCTCAGGGAGCAAATACGCAAAAGAAGCGCAAAGTACAAATACATTCCCACCAACTGGTCCTCCGCCATACCACCCAACTCACAGTATGAACGTGTGTTGTTGTTCTCTCATGAGGAGGAGTATAAAACTGTTGAGCAGTTGTTCAGACGCACTATGAACGACGGCTTCAAGATCCAGAGCATTCACCGGGTACAGAACCCGTTCATGTGGGAGAAATACTGCAGGTATTAGTACATACATTTTATCTCCTAACAAAACTGCATTCAAGAATGTCATAGCAAGATGACCTTAAACTGGAGCCACAAATGAAACAAAAAAAAAACGTTTCTGTAATTTCTTCAATAAGAACAAAAGTTGTAAACGGCACTTGTTGTTTAACACGTCAAATTAATATGCACTTATAACTATGTACATCATACGACATGCGGGTAAAATAGTTAGCGCGTGACAGAAGTTCTTTGGGGATTGAGTGTTTTTTATATTTCCATCAAACACTTGAGAGAGTGTTTTGTGATATCCAGATATCCCTGACCTCGATGTCTATTTTAAATCTTGGCCGCGTCTTGTTTTTTCAGTCTACTCACCAGTGTCACTATGCGGATCTCAGACGATACACTTCCTTCTCAAATCATTTAATAATTCGTGAACAGAAGACGAGGAAAATCACCGTCTTGAAGGTGGCTTAAAAAATCAAATCTTTAGTTTGCCATAAAATTTTGCGCGAAAGCGGATTTGAGAAACTATATAAAACACTTATTAAAAGTTTCAGTTTACACCTCAAATGAAACACCTCTTTCTCGTTTTTAACATAGTTTGACTTTCTTAAGGAAAAAAGAAAACATGATGGCAGTGGCAAAGGGCAACCAGCAAACTGTCAATGAGAAGCAGTTGTTTCACGGAACTAGCCCTGATGCTGTGGAAGCCATCTGCAAACAAAACTTCGACTGGCGTTTACACGGAAAGAATGCCACCAAGTACGGCGAGGGAAGCTACTTCGCAGTAAATGCCTCTTACAGCCACACCTATGCCAAGAAAAGTTCAAGTTCTGATATGTTTATGTTCGTAGCCAAGGTTCTTGTGGGTTTCTATATTACCGGTAATTCCAGTTATCGAAGACCGCCGTCAAAGAACCCTTCGGATCCTGCAAGTGATCTGTACGACTCGTGTGTTGATAACCAAGTTAGGCCAACCATTTTCGTTGTCTTTGACACCGATCAGTTCTATCCCGAGTACATCATTCAGTATGATTCAACAGTGTCTCACACAACTTATGCCAGTGGCTCTGCCTTACCACAACCAGGCAATCTTAAGCGCCCACCGGTAAGAGCAAGGCCAGGAGCAAAGCCAAATGATACTAGTGCTTACTATGCCCCGCAACCACCAACTACAGTACCGTCGCGACCAAATCTTTCCAGCTCCCAACCACTAAAGGGCATTCTGAAGCACCCGGCAAGTTCGAATGTTTCTGTAACGTCTAGTCTAAACGTAACAGACACACCAAGTAGTTATTCCCTAAGTACGACTAGGCCGTCACAGAGTCCAAGGTACGTTGCACAGAGGCCAACTCATGTTGCTCCAGCAGCCAATTCTAGTGTTTCTGTGACGTCTAGCCCAAACGTGACAGGCGCAGGAAACAGTTATTCTCTAAACACGACGAGTTCGTCACAGAGGCCAAGGCACGTTGCACAGAGGCCAACTCATGTTGCTCCAGCAGCCAATTCTAGTGTTTCTGTGACGTCTAGTACAAACGTGACAGGCGCAGGAAACAGTTATTCTCTTAGCACGACGAGTTCGTCACAGAGGCCAAGGCACGTTGCACAGAGGCCAACCCATGTTGCTACAGCAGTCAATTCGAGTGTTCCTTTCTCAGGAAGTAGCAAGTACTCGACAGTATCGACCAATAACTCGCTAAGTACCTCTAGTCGTCTGGATACAAGTTATACCGCAAGCAGTTCTTCTGCGTCGAATTTTTATCACACAGTGGCTAGTTCTAGTCACATTACACCAACACGCCATGTTGGATCTTCCCTGCAGAGCGTTGGTCGAGCAAGTGCCTCAGATTCTTCTTTTTCCACCCCTTTCAACTCAAAAAGTTCAGTAACATTCCCGACACCCAAAAAGAAGAAAGACTGTCTAATTATGTAATGTACGTAGTTAATGAAGTTACTACATTAGCGTTATAATGGAAGATATAACTTACAAACTCGTTCATTTTTGTCGCACGATAGTTACTTTGTTATTGATCGTTCGACTCCGAACTGCTGTCTTTCATGAAGCTACGGTGTCCATTAACTGATCGGTACCATTAGTAACGACACTGTTACTTGTGATTTGTGCTTTACAAATCTCACTCATGCTTTATATGGTTGGTGGGTTTCGATCCGAAGCATTGTTGGCATTGTTAGTATAAGAAACAAGAGAAACTGTTCCCTCATCGGTACACTGTTTTAATTGTACTACCACCACCAACAACAACAACAACATAACTTTATTGCAAGAATAAATTTAATTAATCACACTGTCCCGCAGGTAGCAAAAGCTAATCTAGGCGGGACAGAAGTAAGAATTGAGGGTTAGGGTTTAACTTTAATTTGCTGTTTCAGGTCAGTTCTATGCTTAAAATAAGTAATTAACTATAATTGCCTTTGTCCATAAACAAAATGCTCCTCTATTTTTGGAAATGGAAAAACACACGATATTCTCGGTTTCTAATTTATTGGTTGGTTACACGACATAAAAATCTCTCACTAAAGTAAAATTTGTTCTCTAAAGATATATAATACCGCACATACATTGTTTCACTTATCTATCAGAAAACCTTTCAATTCTCTTCTCAGCTTGCGTTAAATGCAACTTGCGTGTCTCGCTAATAGAGCTCTTGACAGATTCAATAGCACTAATTGAAAATGTGATAATAATCAAATATTACTGACAACAGTTTCCGACACTATTTTCTTTATAATTTTTTTATCAGGAAGCACTAACCGTAATAACTGTGATGTTTGCACGCATAAAATCGCATTAAAATTTGAATCGATATTGGCTTAAGTTTTGAAAATTTCAATTCATATCTACCCTTGTCATCTGTAGTGACAGACGATAGAAAATATTTTCAAAGTCTAAATATAATCTTGATTAATAACACTTGTACAATATACTATTTTTTGGAGTTTAAAAATGCCAAGTTTCTTAGTTAGCGCTGATTTTAGCCACAAATCTATAAATGTTTGGAATGATTTGGTTCCTCAAAAAAGCTTTTCAATAATTATAAAATAGTTATTAGGCAACTGAAGTAAATGGAAAGAAATTCCAAAAAGCGCTTTTTCTTATAGTGATATCGTGATATAGAACCATTCGAAACAACTGAATTAATAAACCTACCTGATCTTCGCAGAAAGTACATAAATCATGTGTTCAAACACATATCTTATTCAACTTCGTATTCGCACTGTTATTCGCGAGAAAAGAATTGAGTTTATTACTTTGTACTGGAAGTCTTTAACGTACAATTAAACAACAGTAGGGAAAATATTTGTCAAGTGTAGATGGATGCTGATAAATTAAAGTTACTCTTGGCTTATGCATAATATTGGGGGTTTTGGGTTTGTCACTGATAACTATTTTTAAAATAATGATTGTGGTCGCAAATATCAAAGGTTCGTGGCCGGATTACGAAAGGGAACAGACACGGCTGTGAAATTCCTGAGAAAACTTTTGGCCACGGGAAACGATTTGCTCAAAATAATCATTCTTTGTTCAAGCAAACAAAGCTGTTTCTGGTTGTGAGTTACAATCGAACCTTCCATTTCCTTTTAAGTCTAAACCGACGACTTTCATTTCCGACGAAATTATGACTTCACGGTGCCCAGCATCATTTTTATTTAACTGCTCTATAAAATGAGCCACGCAGTCCGTTCATTGAAGTCTACAAAATCCACTTGGCAACTACACTTGCGACTACAGTTGTCAGATTCTCTTACTAACAAATTAGTACGTGATTCTCACTTTAACCGCTAACTTTTTAGGTCCTTGAAGTCAATTCACATAGTATTGACCAATTATCACTCCTTCTTCAAGCCACCAAAACTTATTCCGGTTGTAACTTGCAGTCAGCCCAATACCTTTTCTTTTAAGTCCTGTATGACTGACTTTCACTTCTCCGGCAGTCGATTTGACCAAGTATTTCCTTTAATAACTTGTCAGGTCTCTTACTGACAAGAAAGTAATAACTTGATCCTTGAAGTCAATTAGCAAAAACTAATTACGTGGACTGATTTGCGTTCATTAATGCCCTTTCTATGCAGAATAATCTTGACCTGTTCAAGCCAAAAATACAGCCCGCCCATTTCCGTCTCTCTTCAAAATGTTCAAAGAACGTGAAGTGTACTAAACTTAAGTTCTTACTACCTGAGCGTGCTTAGAGACATTGAAAGCAATGCTTAGGCGACAATGAGGAGGGACAGCAAAGAGTATTATGGTATTTTTTTAATGCTATAAAATGAGCCACATACTCGCCTACTCATTCATTGTAGTCAACGAAGCCAGTCCTCTCGCAACTAGTCTACACTTGTCAGATTCTCATTTATCAGCTGACCTAGAAGCTGTGATACGTAAGTAACCAGAAAGAAGACCTTTTTGAAAAAATACTCTGCTAACAACTCCCAATTGTTGTGCGCGAAGTTTAGTTTTCTTTTTTTCGTTCAAGTTTGCAGACTTAAACCATTTTCCACTTAATTATCGTACAGACTTATTCGCCCTTAAAAAGGCCGGAAAAATACTCAAATTCCTACATGCATATATACTTCACAGCACAGTTCCTCTGCTTCGTCCCGTATCAAGATTGCTTTTTAGACTTCGTACGTCGGTTATTACCGGTATCGGAAAAAGATTTCTTTAATTTTTTTGTTATAAGTTGTTTTTCATTTTTTCGTGCATATCACGAGTGGCATATAATTAACAGCTATGTTTTATGTAATTAGAATTACAAGACAAGGCAAATATTAGCCGATAACCCCTTGCTATGGTGATGTATTTTCTTTTGCTTTATAGTTAAAAAAATCTCAAATCATATCGGCTGTTATCTATTTCTGTTTCTTTGTCTTGCGGAGTGTATAATGATCTAATTCTTTTGTATAGCCGAGTTAACACGTTCAAAATGTTGAATTTGGTTATAAGTCTGATAATTTAAGGAGCTGCTTTTACGAATTTAATGCCTAAAAATCCGAAAGCCATATACCGGTCTTTCAAGAAGCGACTTGGCTTATCTGGATTATGAGTCATAAAACTGCAATTTTGAGTTCTAGTAACCACCACTTCATAATTACTATATTTGTCTGCCCGAGATTGAAAAAAAGGCATCAGTAAAGTGTTCAGGCCGTTTTATTATAACTGAGATAGCAAATGCCTCGGATGCGGTGGACACAAACGAGAAAACAGAAAACAGAATCACAAAAACTCAAAAAAAAGAGCAAAAAAAACTAAAAACAGAATAACAAAACTTAACACCGAAACACATGAACTAAAGGTGTTTCCGTTAAAAATTCTTCTCGGCTTTGTGAACGTAGCTTAAGTCCGGGGGGGGGTTACTTTAGGACTTTTTGGGTGGTCATGTGCCGCTGGGACCCTGAAACCCTTAGCCTATACCATACCAGAGCTAGTTCAGGTGAATTTTGCTACCCTAGACTAAACTCCCCAAATCCCCCCTATGCTAGATTAGCTGTTTTCCAGAAGGAATTAATGAGGTCACTAGCACAGTCCAGCCAAAACAAAACAGATAGGATTTTTTTAAATATTTTTGAGTGGCAATTCCCGGTTTCCCTCGTCTAGACTAAAATCTTCAGCCAATTGATCAGTTTAAATGGAAAATGATACCATCTTCTAGACTCGAACTCTCTGATTTGTATACCCTATCCCAGAGTAAATCGCTTGAAAACCATACCCTTCACAGCGGCACATACCTATATTGCCCATATGTGGAAGTACCCCCCCCCCGGCCTAAATCAAAGTATAACCGGGCTCAGTGTTGCTACTTCAATTACAGTGTTTGTACGGGGAAATCCTAGCGGAATTTGTAGGAAATGCATTGTCAAGCTTGACAAGTGGCGGGGAATGTTTTATATTTTTGCCCGTTTTCATTTTTCAGAATGGATCTACTTGTCTTCTTCATGGTTTGTGGAGTAGCTCTGTTTGGCTCTTGTACCAGTGGAAATGCAGAATGGCCCCCTGCTGCCTATAAGAGAGTCGTCGAATGCATTCCAACGGGAAAACCACCAACGCCCCCACCGCCGTACGACGTAGCATTTTGTCTTGCTTTAAAGGTTTTACGGAATATTTTGCATACTTTATAATTGTTTAATCAACGAAGCAGCACGTTGAGGTACAAGGGGTCAATACTGAAAATGTCCCGGGAATATTCGGTTCTCAATATAAAAAGAATGGAGGATGCTTGTCGTCTCGCATAAGTGGGGTTAATGGTCAAGTAATACGGGCAACATTTTCGCACAACTTGTCGCGTAACATTGTTGCGTTGCAAGTTGAAAAGCGTTGTTTCCCGTATTATTATTATTATTATTATTATTATTATTATTATTTAAAGCAAAAACATGTGTCGAAACATGAAGTCTATTTTTACTATGGGTATCTGACAGTGGTCAAAAACATTTTGAGCCGCGCTCAGAAAAGTTTTCTGGCGTTTGCTTAAAAATTTTCGACGAGTATTCCTATTTGTTCTCTGAGGGAATCGTCCTCCAACCCCCTGCGCCCCCCCCTCCCTTCTGCACGGGTAAAAATGCTTGCGTGGCTGAACCCGACTGCCCTCGGCAGACACTGCAGGAGATAACTTCACCACGGAAAAAAAAAAGGAAAGGAAAAGAGACAACAAACAAACAAACAAAACAAACGAAAGAAATGAATTTCCCTTTTATATAAGGCTTGTAACCAAAAGTATTAACGCTTTTATTTTCATGTCTTAACCAGATGGATTCCGAATGCCTTCTAGAGCCATTAAATGCCACATGTCACCGCGAAGTATTTGACTTTTATCGTGCGTACAACCTGGAACGGATTTATCTTACCCGAAAATCTGACTTTTGTCCGGAGCCACTTCCTTACGAGGAATTAAGGGAGCTTGTCCTCGAATCTGGTAAGTCATGATCTTAAATAACAGCGTGGTTTACTCAGTAGAAA